GAGGTGAGCAGTGGAGGAAATTCTGACAACAGTTACTGCTTCTGGCCTGTCTGGCTGTGCATTCAGATCTTCACACATGGTATTTCATTTTATTTTTTCAACAATCCCAAATGATACTAATATCCTCATTTTGCTGCTAATGAAAGTGAGGGGCAGAGAGAGGTTAGTCATTTGCCAAAGTTCCATCTCTAAGAAGGGCAGAGTCAAGGTTGAAGCATGGTGCTCTTCGTCCCTGGACTGTGCTGGCCACTCAGGAACCTACAGAAGCCATCGCTTCCTGGACTTTGGGAAGGGAAAAGGTGTGGATAAAGAGGCAGGATAACAGTAACCTTAACACGGTACTCCCACCCACTAGCGCAGGGTCTTTGTCTTCCTCCCTTAATTATTCTTCATACCTAACTGAATGTGGCTCATCTAAGGCACAACATAGGCACATAAGAGGCACAACCTTATTTACCGGTGACTGACCTACATTATCCTGATTCTCATAATGACCATGAGCAATAACAAGGAAAGGTATTATTATCTTTATTCATGACTACTTTACCTGAATTAAAGGGACTATCTCACATTCCCAAAGCTGATTTAAATAAATTTCTGAGTTGTTTTAATTGTCAGGGTGACAGCTTACCTATAAAGGTTGCAGGCTCTTGGAAGCAGGGATCATTCCTATACACTTTTGTATCCCTCCCCACAGCACAGAGAACATTTCTATGAGCACAGAAAGTTCTATAAGAGAGTGCTACTCTAGAGGCCAGCAAGAGCCAATTGGTAACAGTTTAACACACTACCCTACTTCAAAGCCAGAGGTTTGAAGTTAATAATTTTTGAATGAATAAATGAATGAATACCATAATGAAAGTGTTCTCTTAATATAGACTGAGCTAACTACCGTGATCAGTCATAGGCCGAATTAGTGCTTTCCAGGGTAGCTGACTCCATTTTTCAAAATGAATCATCAAAAAGAACAAAACAACTCTTTTCTTAAAGATGTCAAAGTGCAATTTTAAATGTCATGTTAAGTAATGGCAAGATGCTAGAGTGGGTTAGCAGTGATTACTACTATTTAACAGCCATTTAAAAACAAGGCAAGTGTAATGTTTGCACCAATATGGCATTTAAATAGTCAAAACTACTCTACTTTGATAATGAATTAATTCATAATTACTAATATATTTCATTGACTTTATCTCATTTTTCATAAAGCTTAAACTATATCATTGTTATTATTTTAGTTAATATCATGTTATCTATCTATGCCAAGAGACTGGCATTGCCTTTTAAAAAAAATGACAGAGAAATCAAAGGCCTGACACATTAAGGTTTTCATTTACCATGATGCCCAGACAGTGATATTCTGTGATATTCTGAGTTGTCTTTTCTTACCTTGTGATTGTCTCAGCAACACTTCTAGGGACACTCGAATAAAAACAAATAGCAAGGTAGATGCCACAAAGGCTAGGCTTCTTGCACTAGATTTCCCACAGAGTGCAGAATATCTTAACTTGCTAGATGCTCTACCCAGCCTCTTAGGGAAGAAGTTCATCAGTTCAGCATATTGGTGTTTTATGGAAACATGAGAAAGGCTGTGATACATCTAGCTCCTTTCAGTCCTTCCTTTAACCAGTCTCATCTATAAGAATGCCTGTCCTTAACTAAGACTGAGCTAATACAGTTTGGGTCAGGGGCCATATCTCCAGTGTAAAGCCACCCATTCATTCATTTACCATGTGTCTAGAAGTGCTAGGCACTAGGAACACAGTGATGAATGCCACACAGCCCCTGTTCTCAAGCAGCTCACGGTCTACTGGTAACTCAGACCAGTAGATCAGCAACCACCATGGAGGGTGATCAGCACTCAGTGGGGGTAAGCAGAGACTGCCAAAGAAACCATGTTGTACAGCATGGGAGCTAAGAAAAGACTTCCCAGAAAAATAGCAACAAATAATGTCATGAAGCCTAGATAAAGGCTTTCCAGATGGTGGCAGGGGGAGAGAGAGAGAACAAGAAAGAGAATGGGGCTTGATTGAGCCTGTGGAGAGAAGTATAGTGTCATTGAAGCATAGAGATTTCAGGAGGCCACAAAGGGTAGTGTGGTAGAATGAGGCTCTAGAGCTGTGCTGTCCGGTGTAGTAGCCAAGAGCCATATTTGGCTACTTATTTATTTTAGAGATAGGGTCTTGTCCTGTTGCCTGGACAACTTGGCTGGAATTCAGTGCCACAGTCGTAGCTCACTGCAGTCTCGAGCTCCTGGGCTCAAGTGATCCTCCTGCCATGGCTTCCCAAAGCACTGGAATTACCGGTGTGAGTCTGACTGTACATTTGGCTCTTTGAGAGAATGAAAATTAAATACAAATAGAAATGTGGTTCCTCAATTGTACTAGCCACATTGAATCTGCTCAGTAGCCACTTGTGGCTACTATATTGGACCACACAGATATGAAATATTTCCATAATCACAGAGAGTTCTACTAGACATTGCTGCTCTAGAGCCTGGCAGGGGCCAATGAGGAACTTTGAATGACATACCAAGGTGTTTGGACCTTATCCTGAGGATAATAAGACCACACTGAAGCATTTTATATAAGGGAGTAGAATGATTAAATCTATGTGTTAGAAAAGTCACTCTATAGGTCACATAAGAAATTACAGAGAGGCAAGTCTAGGAATTAGAGATATCAGTGAAGAAAGTATTGGATTAAGCAGAGCAAGAGATGATGGGGGCCTTGGATGGGTAGAATAGGAGAGAAGTACATGGACTCAATAAATTTTAAGAAATAGAGTCAAGACATATTAAACAATATGGAACAATATCTAAACAGATGTGCAGGATGAGAAGGCAGAGGTGAGGTTGATCTCCAGCTTAGGCAGCTAGTAAATAATGGTATCATTAACATAGACAGGGAACAGGCAGAGGAAAGGAACAGGTCTGGGGAGGAGTGATGATAAATTCAACTTTGTTTTTGCTATATTTGAGGTATACAAGGAGGCATCCAAGTGAGCTGCAGAAGACATTTGAAGAGTCAGAGCTAAAGCTCAAAGGACAAATCTAGGCTGGAGATTAAGATTTTGATGTCATCACCATATGGATGACAGTTGAAGCCATGGGAGTAGAGGAGTTCCCCAAGGGAGAGAGTGTGGAATGAGATACTAAGAAGGCCAAGGTCTAAACTTAGAGAACCCTGATGGTGATAAGATCAGCCTAGGAAAAAAAGCCAAGGTAAGCAACCAGAGAGGTAGAAATAGAACCAAAAGAAAGTAGTGGGATTCAAGCAAAGAGAGAGTATTTAGGAAAAAGGAGTGGTCATCGTGTCATATGTGTCAGAGGGCACAATAAGGTAAGGGTTGAAATATATCAATATGATTTTGCAAGAGAGAGGTTGATCATCGGGGAAAGCACTTCCAGAGAACTGATGAGGGCAGAAGGTGCATTGCAGTGGGCTGAAAAGTGAATGGGAGTTGAAGAAGTGAAAGCAAATATAAACAACTCTTTCAGGATAGCTCATTCCTGTCCATATCCACTGTGCCATTTTCAAATGTCCACCTCATAGTAAAGATATTTGTGAACTGTCTTATCCTCCAAACCATTCTAAGCTCATCAGAAGTACAAATGGGTATTCTATATTTTTATTCCTCATTGTTTCTACTGTGGGTTTTACATATAGAAAATGCTCTGTTTAAATCTGTAATACATTTCCCCGGCTTTCAAGTATGTATTTTCATGTGTTATTCTCTTAGACAACTTTTTTTGATTGAGTAGGAAGAACTCAGTTTCAGTTGAGAAAAAGACAAGTCCATAATTTAATTGACTCTTATAGTTTCAGGAAATTTTGTGAGTCAGGGGAGGGGAAATTTAAAAAAATCAGAAAACAGAACAAGGACAAATGTGTTTTAATAAAAAAACTATTATGATTATTTACACCAATTCCTTGATAAGCATATAAATGTAAACTTTTATTGTTGGCATTATTTCACATATGATTTATCCAAATTCAGAGTTAATACTGTCATTTGAGTGTACAGGTAGTGAGAAAATTTTGTTATATTCACAGAATATACATACACGTGCATTCAAAACGTGTCCCTCTCTAAGCCAGTGGTATAGACACTGTCCCATTGGCTCTGCCTCTGCCTCGCAGGTGTACGCTGGGATCAGTCATATCATCCATATGCTCCTCACTCTTCTTTTCCTTCAGGCTGTTGATGAACCTCAGGGTGATTTCATCCCATTCTTCAGGCAACAGCATCAGCAGAAACCCAATGCAGATGATGATGGTAGCAGCCAGGCGGACGACATTGAATATCACCTCCTGCTTTAGGAGATCCACAGCTAGGAAAGAAAAATCAAGTCATGCATTGCATATGCCTGTTTCTAAGCTTTGAAAACAAGTCACCAAAGTCTATGTTACTTCTAGAGAATTCCAAGAGTCGTCTTTATTCTTCCAAGTTAGTGTTTCCTTTTTCCACATTGCTAGGTTTGCTTTCCATTGCTTGTCTCTAAATCATGCTTATCTTTCAAGGCTTAGCTCAAATTCCATGTAATCTGACTTACTTACCTCCCCAGTTTTCTCTCAGTACTTTTCCTCTGTACCCCTTTACCCGTCTCCAGTTTCATTGGACCATTGGAGATTTTTCAAATGAGCCAAACTTTTTAGTGTCTAAGATTTCTGCAGGCTGTTCTTTTAAAAATGTAATTGAGGTGAAATTCATGTAATATAAAATTAACCATTTTAAAGTGGACTTAGTGGCACTTAGTATATTCACAATATTATGCAGCCACCACCTCTCTCTGGCCCCCAAATATCTCCATCACTTCAAAATAAAAGCCCATACCGATTAACTCCTTAGCTTCTTACCCTCACTCCCCAGCCCTCAGCAACCACCAATGTACTTTTTTTTCCCCCTATAGGTTTGCCTATTCTAGTTATTTTATATAAATGGAGTCACATCCTCTGTCCTTTTGTGACTGGCTTCTTTCACTTAGCAAAATATTTTTGAGGTCCATCCATATTGCAGCATGTGTCAGCACCTCATTCTTTCTTATGGCTGAATAATATTTCATTGCATCATAATTTGGTTATTCATTCAACTGCTGATGGACATTTAGGCTTCTCTACCATTTTGCTATTGGGAATAGGGCTACTATGAACATTTGTGTATGAGGATTTTTTAAATCTGTTTTCACTTTTCTGGGGTATGCAGTCAGCAGTGGAGTTGTTGGCCACACATGTGCTATTCTTTTTGCACGAGCTACCCTTCACTCCTCATATCTCACTTCATCCAGCTAAACCTCTCCTTAGATCTCTTCCCTTTAGGCTTCTCACAGGAAGCCTTTTGGATGCTCCTCCTACGCGCCCTTGCAGCATTCAGCACATACCTCTATTAAAGCAATTCTATGTTGTAATTACTCAATTTTTTTCTTTTTGTCTCCCTCTCAATGCTACATGGTCCTGAGGGCAGAGACTGTGCCTTATTCAGGACCTGTCACTAGTGTTAGGAAAGTTCCTGGTGTACACTAATTGCTCAGAAATTATTTGTCAGATGAATGAATGAACTTCCTTGACAACTGCACTCAGATATTTCTTTCCTCTGAATGTCTTATAGCCGCTGGAGTCTGTCTCACACAATTTGGCATTTAATAATAAATTATTTTGTAGAGTCCCAAGTTGTTTCATGTAGGTTGGCCTTCTTTTACAAATTCAGTCATAGACATCTTAAGAGAATAATAATGTAATTTTTTTTCGTTTTTGCAGTCCTGATCACATGACAAATGTTCAATAAACATTTGCTGATTGTCGTGGAGGACAGAAAAGTGGCTGCTCAAGACTTGAAATTATAACATTTTAAAGTTAAAAGGACTATACAATCATCCAGATAATCCATTTGTATTTCTTGTTTCACTGGCAGGTTTCTCTAGAAATATTATCCTGGAAAAATAGCTTCTCTTGTCCCTGAGGTGAATAAAATTGTTTTTTCCTTATATCTATCCCAGAGGGCCACCTTCTCTGCCCCAGGAGAGCCTTCTGTGGCTCCCCATGGATTGTCTGAGGAGAAGCCAACCCCATGTACATCCTCTACACTTTCATTAGTGACGGTTACTTGAAAGTCCTATGCTGGGATGCCTTTTGTTTCCATAGGACTTTCTCTAAAAATACCACAAAATTAGGTTGTCAGGGAGATTACATGAAACCCAAATGATACATTTGGTATTTAATTCTAAAAGCACAACCAAGTAAAAACAGTGTTTTTTAGCTGCAAATTTTAAATCTGCTGCATAGTTATTCTGTTGTCTGCCACCTTCACGATATTTAAAAACATCTTCCCAGGCAAGGAACATAATTCACAATTTCTAGAAGGAACAACTCAGGACACAGAACAAACACAAACAAGAGACTTGTAGTGGCCAGGATCTGCACATGTCACATGGTACCTGTACCTGCATTTCCAGGAACACTGAGCACTGTCCCAATGGAGATTAGGATTGGGTATGTCAGCACCACCCCAACATTCACCAGGATGTTGAAGGCTGTAAAATAGAGGAGGAAATACAAGATAAAGGAGAAATAATATGCTGGACTTTTTTCTTCTCAAAGTAAATGAATCAATGTCTTTGCTACATGTGCCTTTTAAACTGTCTATACCTTTGATCCTCTAATTTTGGAGATGGAAGATGGATGCATGTGTATTCTACCTGAATTAGTCATGTTTTTCTTTCCTCCTCTGCCATTCTGTTTAGCTGAATCTTGCCAATAGGCTGGCAAAAGGCATAGAGAGCAAATACAAAGAGGTAAAATAATTGATTCACAGCACTGCTTATTGGCACTATAAAGGTAGGTTGGGGCCAGCCAGAGGTTAAAAGCAGGTGATTGATTGAAGATGGTGCCTCATCTCTTTATTGCTATGCTATTTTGTGCCACATTCCTGGACATTAAATGGCTCCAGTGTTACTGCCTAAAGGAAGGTCTATCCAATGATAGCCTATGCTGTTTTATCCCCTCTCTCTGGAGGTCAGCATCATGCGGGCAAACAAGGGTGGGTTTAAATGTAATTCACTGAATTCCAGAGACTGTCTCCATATCCTGATTTTTGTACAGATAATCAGAGAGCAGATCCACAGAACCAACTGAAGGTGTAGCTTCATGCTCTTCAATGAATACCTTTTGGAACTCTTTGGTTAAATATAAAATTAGTTACAATAATCATTTATTCACTTTAAAACTTATCAAAAACACATTTTCAAAAAGAAAAAAATTATAAATTACAAAACATTATTCTAATAGAATCCACTCAAATGTTTGTTTCAGGGGATAGAGAGATGAGTGCTATCTCCATGACAATGAGGGAAGCATGTTGCCTATATCTCTGTAGAACCAAAAAACGTTCTAGAACCATTCCAATTAGGATGATGTATGTTCTTCTATTGTCATCTGTAATTCCCGCTTTAGGCCCACTGGGTCACTTGTGCTTGATAGTTAGAAACAGTGAGTTTGACTTTTACACGACTTGGGCTCCTTTTTATTGTTCATACAATAGTAGTGGCAAGCAAGGCAGAGGGTCTTCCTAAGCTAATAACTGCTCCTCATTCCTGACAAAGCTGCAACATGAATGAATATTCCAGCACTTTGACGCTCTCCTCAGACTTAGGGAGTCCAACATGGCAAATTCGTACAAATCAGGAATTTATGAAATACAGCACAGGCTCTGCTGAACTCCATAGTATGGGGCCTAGCCTGAGTTTAAGTGCAATTCAGACATGCTAGGTGAAGGGAGGAGGCTGACTTGCATTTGGGCTAACGCATTTCTGGAAAGGTAGGTCAACCTGAGAGGATTGAGGCAAAGTAAATGTAAGCAAACAAGAAACCATAACTACAGGAAATGTGGGGTAGTTCAGGGTGCAGACTGATGTGTATCTCTCAGACCTGTGTCAGCCTAGCCTCAGCCAGATCATGTCTGATTTCTATGGAGAAAAGAGGGATGGCAATAAACACTTAGAAATAGGAGCACTGAAGACCGTAAGATCCTGGGGTGTGTAACAGCCAGGAGGGAAGCTGTCTCCTCAATTGTCACAGCACAACTTTGGCACAGTGAGCTCTGCAGTACACTGGGGTGGGCCTGGTGGAGCAGCTGCAGTGCTGCTTAGCACTGCAGCCAGTGGAGTGTGGAGCTCATACTGCTTGGTGGCAAATGCCAGTGTTTAGCTAGCACAGGTGGCATCCAGCCTCTGCAGGCTTGCTTAGGAGCATGTATTGGATATGCCAAGGAGTATATGTTGGTGGAGGGCTACTTTGCAGCAAGGTGGAAATCATGTGTGCAATGAGGAGGCTAAAGATCATTAAAATTTTAATTAGGATTGTTCCCATTTATGTTGTTTTTGGCCAGAAAATAATCTAGATGCTTTTAATGAGGATGTTTTGGTCTTACGGAAATATCGCTATTGATTTCTACTCAACTTAGCAGAAGTTATGAGAGGTGCTAACCATATAATTTTGGCATCGAAAAGTAGAACTCAAGGGACCAACAATTAATATTTGATCCTTCTCTTGAGTGTTTTCTGTCTAAGACCTCCCCTGAGTCTGAGGGACTGAGCCAGCATAGAAAAAGATGACCCAATCAATACTCTTGCAGGGATGAAAATAAGAACATGTTGCTCCCAGGAATTGCAGTGCTGCTACTATTTCAAATTATGTCACCTCAATAAAGAAGGTCAGTTGAGGGTTGATAGATGTTCTGCAGGCCGAGTATTGTGGGAAAATGAGGAGTGGGCAGAGGGAGTTGACCTCCGAGTGGCGTGTGGAAATGGGAGCGGCATGAAAAGGATTTGATTCTGAGTAAACAAACACCAAGTCATTGGGTTGTTGCTGTTTTTTGACTGCTTGGTGAGAGAAGAGCAACCTTGTTATTTTACAGGCTCCTCTCACATCAAGTGGCAACAGCAGCACAGCTTAAAAGTCGGATCCCGGAGCTCAGGTGAGGCAGCCAGCCTCAGAGTTATAGGAAGTTGGCAGTGAAGACATTACAAAGACTCCAGGTGATTTTTTCTTGGCCATTAACTAGGCACTGTCTACCCAGCCAGGATCACCAAGCCCAGTGCATGCTGCTGTCTCTTTACTGGCAATGTCTTCCTATCACAAATCCATCCTCCATTCTCAGCCAGAGTGAGCTGTTTCATATGCAGATATGAGCCTATCACCAACCTGCTTAAAGATTATTAAGTGAACTTTGAATCCAAACACCTCAAAATGGCTTTCCAGGCTCTTCCCAACCTGCTTCCTTCTTAAATAGCATCTCCCTCCCTCCCTCCCTCCCTTCCTCCCTCCCGAACTTAGTGCTCCCACCAGTTTGAACCACTCTGAGTTCTTTGAATGCATCATCTACTCCCTAACCTCTGCTCAACACACCATGGCACACATGGAACATTATAACGCGATACAGTGCATTAGAAAGAACGAATGAGGCTGAAGAAGAAGAATGGATTGAAGGCCAGTGGTATACAGAGAGGCCTGGGCCTCCATTGCACACCTTAACTCATGGGAGGCATACTAGTTAGATAGCTTGAACCTAATCAACCAGCAGCTTGCAAAGAACCTTCTAAACATGACCAATGATGTTGAACAACATACGTTTGGGAACTAGAGCACAGAGTTACCCAAGGAAATAATCCTATGATGATAATCTAACTAGCCAAAGAAAGATTGAGTGATATAGGGAATGGAAGGCAAAACCCGAGGCCACTTACCCAGCCACAGCCCTGCCATCCCACAGAGACAGCCCCACGGCAGAGCTGCAAAAGAGGACCAGTGCTCCACCTTGGTGAAATACAAGATGACTGGGGTGAAGGAGATGAAGATCAAATTGAAGAAACCCAAGGTGGAGACAAAGTGTGCGGCTTCCCCAAAGTTGGCACTTCCAAGAAACATTTTAAACAAGACCTGGAATGAGAAAAAAAACTCTACAGCCGCACAGAGACTTAGCTAGAACAGAAAGGTAAGTCTTACGATTCTGTACTGTGAGCTAACTGGCCCAGAGTTTATTCTCCATTTCTTCTTGCCCTGACATCTTCACAGCACTAGATGGGCTGTTGAGATATAAGGAATTAAAATACTCTATAGCCTTCATATGAAATTGCAAATGTCATAAAATGAATTTCTTATGATGCTGAAAACTGCTGGGTACTGTACATTGTGTTTAGTGCCACCATCAGTGATGGGTATCAGGCAAATGATAAATAAGAGTCCAGACAAGCCCAGAAAAATCTTCTAGGACTGACTGCCATTAATCCTTACCTTAAAGCATGGGATTTGTTTTATCCTTATTTTGATAGATACTGAAAAGTAAATTGGATGGAGAGACCCTGTCATTATGTTGAGAGAAATAATATTTATGCCTTGGATTTATACGCAATTTTCTTTGTGAGCTTAAAATGACTTCACAAATATGGTGCTTGTTCCCCAGATTAAAAAAGTTTTTATATATTGTAAACCTGTGTGCAGAGGAAGATGGCAAGGAGAAGCAAATAGCTAAGATAAAATCACACAACAGGTCAGGGAGAAAGCCAAGTGTAGAGTCCATATTTCTTAGCTTCTTAAGCCTACCACTCCCTATACTAATCCTGTAACAACATAGAGTGAGGCAGATCTCTTCTGCCTGGACTTATATTATGGTGCAGATATGATTTGGTACATGTCAGCAAATATTACCACTCTCAGAATGAATACATTCTGTAACCTGGTCAGGGGAAATCCCTCTGCAAGAGAGCCATTCTGGTCATAGAGCAACCCCAGGTACTGTTTCTAATTTCAACTGAACTAATGATTTTTTTCTGCTGAAAGACTTAATCAAAAGAATTTGAGCACGTGGTAGTCTTTGGTCACATCAGACATCTTGGTGAATCTCACTTGGGGAGCAAGTTAGACACTAATGGCCGTTGAGTGAACATTTGTCAAGCTTGTCACACAGAATCAATGGGCCAAGAAATGTCAATATGGAAATAGACTTCATGCCCTCTGAGCCACAGTGTTGGTTAATAATCAGAAAAGGCTTCCAGGAGGGATGAAAAGGGTATTTGCTGCCTTTCAGAGAGTGTTTTCTCATTGAAACACCAAGAGAGGTGAAATTGGAACAGTTCTTTAATACATCCAGAAAGTTGACTTTTAAAAGTAGGGCTTTGGGGAGTAACCTTTTAGATCTGCTCTCTTAGTTCTCACTTCTGAAGTCAGGTGCAATGAATCTGAATAGAATTTTCTTTGATGACAGGGAACTCCAGTGGAGAAAAAAATGGTGTGTACATACAGCCGACTTACAGCATCCATCAGAGAAAAAAAGAGGATCTTCATTTTGCTAGTAACGTGAGCTCCTGTGGCATGGGGTTAATATGTGCCAAACAGCTCTCTAGTGATAGCTTATTTCTAACATCTCTTTTGAATTAAAATAATGACCATAGATAATTAAATTAAAGAAACATAGGGAGAGAAGATGACTTTCTAATGTTCCTGCTATAACTGCCTGCTAAATGAGGGATTAGGGCATAGCACATGGGCTTAGAAGTGGGCTAGTCCAGAGTTTAAGTCTTGGTTCTATCACTATTTGGCTGTATGATTTGAGGCAAGTTATTGAATCTTTCAAAGCTTCAGTTTCCTCACCTGGAAAGTGGAAATAAATATGTATGCCTCATAAGGTTGTATTAAAACAGGCAAAATTTTCAGGCAGGTACCCATCACATAACGAGTACTTAATTTACTTACTATCATTTCAACACATCTATTTTCTTTCTAATCAATGTTTTCATCTTACTTTCTTACTTTAGTGCTCAAGTCTAAGTTATGAGTGACAGTTGCTTACAAAAGAAAATGCCAAACATACCTTATATAATGCAGATGTAGAGGCTGAGCCCACTGCAAATGCCACTCCTACGATGGAATCAGCGTGGAAATTATCTGCATACGCCATCATGACAATGCCGGTAATTGCCATTATTGCAGCAACTATCTGTCAAATAGGATGCAAAGAAACAGAAAAGCAATGAAACAAAGAAACAGAAAAGCAGTGATGCCTCTGGATCCTAGATCAGGCAATTCAAGACTTTATAAAACTAAGTAATTCCTTAAACCTAATTACCTTTTGTACATCACTTTTTAAATGTAGGAAGGCTCAGTATTAGAAATAAATCAATATGTTCATGAGATATCCAGGCACAGAATATAAAAGCTGTTCACATTATAATTAATAGTAATTTTATTACTTTTAATATATTTTTACTTTTTTAGGCCTAATAATTTCAATTTTTTAGCTCAAGCTTTCTAGAGATTAACATTTGTACTGCTGAAATAAATTTAATAGAAAGTCACTTCTAAGTGTTTTCATATCTTCTGTATTTCATCTATTCTTTTTCCTCCAATTTAGTATACATTTTAATCAGCTCCTTGGATCAATGTATGTTTCTGAAGCTCTCCATCTAATCAGGACCTGGTTAGCGAGACATGATATTGATACAGCTAAGAGGCAAAATTTAGGCCAATGGGAAGAAAGAAAGAAAATAAATTCTCATAGAGATTTATAGAGGAGCAAGCTGAGTCTGCACTGTCGCTTGGAATGTCAAATGGAAGCCAGTACTTCCTTTTGTTCACATGAAAATTCATTTTTCAGAAAAAACACTGAAAGATAATTTCATTTAATTATTCTAGAGCATTAACTGCATAAAGTGAAATATTCATAATTCAACTGAAGTCATCATGGTTTACTGTAAATTGACATGATTCTTGCTATATTCAAAACAGGAGTCTACTCCCTTAGTGAAATGGTTTGTGTCATCTCTTTAATTATCTTGAACCAGTTCTACTGGAAAGCAGTTCAGAGCTACAGCAAACAGTAAAATAACGCTGGAACAGGTGACAATATGTCATTTCCTTGTGAAATGGTTTCACTGACTTTAAAATCCAGATGAAAATTTGTGAGAAATTTAAACCTACATGGTAATTAATTTTGTTAAGCTTCAGTTCTGAGTATTCCCAAGTAAAGAAATTCCCAAGTAAAGATAGCTTTTTCACATATGTGATTTTCGGGGGCCCTTTTGAACACTATTAGTGAATTATTTTTTATAACATGTAGATTTTTAACATGTAATTATTGACTCGCTTGAGACCAGTGCAAAGTATGTTCCCAATGACATAGAATTCAGACGCTGCCAAAGCATGTCTTTTGTTAATGGTCACCAAAAACAAGGGCCCACTTGGTTTCAGAGTAGCTCCATATTAAAGTGTCCTTAATGAAAAACAGCAGGAGTACTTAAGAACAGACGTAGACATGTCAGCAGTGAAAAATCATCTTCATTAAACATTATCAGGAGGCTGCTTGATGGGAGGTGGTTTTCTTGCTGAGTGAATATCATATTCTCTAAAGCTGCTGGGTGTGTGTTCTGGTTAGACTCGTCCTTAAACTATAGGGAATAGAATTTAATACACACACCACAAGGTGTCAAGGAGATTTCCTAAACAAGAAGTAACAGACTCATCAATAAACACAGTGAGGGGGTTATCAAGACCTGGAAATTCTATGAGGGTTATCATTTTCCTTGATTTGGGGATTTGCAATAGTTCTTTGGGGGATCTGATTTCAGGGAAATAAAAAGGCACATTAGATATTGGCATATCCTGACTTGGTTTTGTGTTTAAATAATGTTCACTGGCTAGTGTTCATGAGCACAAATAGATTTCCTTCATAAGACTGAATTAGCAGGAGAATACATTTGAGTTAATATTTGTTTTCTTTTAGCTAAGTGTTGCATTTTCTTGGTCAAATAAACAAGTGGTTACTTCAAGACAAGACTAACAAAACAGTGTAAATCCTAACAAACTTTCACATGATGTGCTATTCTATATTTTAAATTATTAAAAGCATTCTGTAATACATAACACATGGGTTTAGGTGATTACACACTGTAGTATGTAATTCTGGATTTAGAAAATTGTGAAAACCAATTAAAAAACCCCAAAGCAAAAAACAAAATGCTGTCTAGAAAAGGACAGGCAGTTGGCATCATTATCCCCAAGATATGACCACAGGTAGGAACTCTTCCTTTTCTGAGTTAGCCACTGGTAAAAATAGATATGCATAAACTTCCTATTATGTTTCCTCAAGATAGGAATTGAATGTGGGTAAAGATTATATAACTCTGTAGCAATTCAAAATTATAACCATAGTGAGCCTCTTAAAGATCTTCATTACTTGTTATATTCAAGTCCTTGTGAAAATATTAGCCTGGACCACTTAAATTGACATATCAATTACAGCAGTGTCTCTTTCAATTGCCTTCACAGAGAGAAGCATTTTTCACTTTAGGGGGCCAGACAATGCTGTTAAGTTCTGAAAGAATGAAAATCTGAGTATCTGAAATGTTAGAAAAATTCTCCATGATATGAGCAGTAATTCATAAGTTATACAGTAGGTTCTTGGGGCAGGGTGCGGGTGGAGGGTGTAGTGGGAATAGATAAATTATTTGCCACATTTTAATTTAAATTTCATAAATATCTGATAGGTCAAATTCTCTATGGCTATATTTTAAGAAATTTTAAATATATTTCTTATCTATATGGTTGTAAGTGAAGGAAGAGATCTCAGCTAATCTTGAAAATGAGGAAAAGTTGTGGAGTGGTTGTTAAACGACTGGTTTAACTTTAGAGAGTAAATACTCTTCAGATGTCCGGAGAACAAATATCCTAAGCACGTGTCAGTCACACGCATTTGCAGAATCCATCAGTCATCAAAGAGGGATTAATAATCTTTTCTTCTCAACAGAAAAACACAAAATGACTCTTCTTGGCCTCAGCTTTCTGGAAATGTGTCTGCAGGAAGCCAGCGCCTAAAAATGCTCATATGTGTTCATTAACATGATGACAACCACTGAAGTGCTCCTGGGACACATTAACATCCATAAGAGGAATTCTGCTGAAAATACACCATCTAGTGGTGCCACCTGCTCGGCTTCTGAAAAATGTGGGTCTCTTGACAATCTATTCCGGTTCCAGCCTCTTAACCAAGCAGAAGTGTCTAAATAAGATGTAAAACTAGGCCAGGCACAGTGGCTCATGCCTGTAATCCCAGCACTTTGGGAGGCCCAGGTGGGTGGATCACATGAGGTCAGGAGTTTGAGACCAGCCTGGCCAACATGGCGAGACCCCGTCTCTACTAAAAATACAAAAATTAGTCGTGCTTTGTTGGCACATGCCTGTAATACCAGCTACTCAGGAGGCTGAGGCAGGAGAATCGCTTGAATCTCGGAGGTGAGGGTTGCAGTGAGCTGAGATCACATCACTGCACTCCAGCCTGGGCAACAGAATGAGACCCTGTCTCAAAAACAAACAAAAAAGATGGGGGGCGGGGGAAAAAACCCTTACCATTACCATTATCTGAACCTGGCTTAGGTTAGAATGTTAGTAACCATAGTGACCATAAAACTGCCAGCTCCTCCATTTAAAATTTTTAAACCTCTCTGCCCTCACACATTGTGGTGTGCCCACCTGGGGTGAGTCATTGAAGGAAGAGGATTTATTTAGCCCATTATCTCAGCATGCCAGTTGAGTGGCATGGCCTCCTGAGCCACCTATCTTCCTCTGCATGCTGGGGCCCTCAGAGAGCTCTCTGCACCAATTTTCAGAGCCAATCAGAGGGGATCTGTGTGGTCATTTGAGCCTGTTCCTAAAGCCCAAAGAGGGCTTTACCAGTGGACATTTGGTGATCTCACTGTACTAAATGCCACCTGTGACCCTGCATGGAGGTTGTTTCTTTTATCTTTCAAATAATTAGTTTGTACAGATAAAGCCTAAAGAAACATCTGGCTTTGGCTGTTTCTGTTTTCTTCTATATTTTTTTCTTTTTCTCTTTTGGCTCAGGCCATCAAAAGCCCACAAAGGTTTGGTCCTTCTCTGCATCTCCAAGAGGGTTTATCAACCTTATCCCATTCACTATGGTTCCCATTCACAGATGGTTTTCACAATTCTTATTTGCATAACAGTACCAGCTCCTTCAGGGTCCAAGGCATTGGATGAACCTTTAGTTGCTTCTCTTCCTACAGTGTTCCTTTAAGATTTTAAAGGTCAAAATGAGTAATTATAATCCAAACATGTTTCCTTACTTTGCCTTGAGGCTAGTTCTGTTTCTTGAAGCTAGGTGCGTATGAAGCAGCTGGTTCACAAATCAACCCTTGAATTCCAAAGCCTACAGCAGCCCTAAAAATGCAGATCTCAGACCACACTGCTGGCAGCTGCTGTACTCAAGTTGAAAACTAAAGGTCAGTAGTTGAGTTGGGGACACACGTTAATAGTTTGACCGATGAGAAACAGGCTGATGATTATCTCTCTGGGTAAATTTAGATAGAGTTGATTTTCAAGGAACTATGGCTATACAGAATCCTTAAACTTCTGCATATGTTATATTTAAGGTTCTATGAAAAACTGTCTTTTTTACTCAGATTCTATTAAGCTGAACAAGTGCTGAAGTGTGAAAAATAAGAGGTGTGGCAATCTATAGCTGTCCAGATGCTGTGTGTGAGACGGGCAGTGGCGGTATCTTGGATAGCAGCACACCCAAGGGATGCTGGCCCTCTGAACTCCCCCTCTCCCTACACGCGTGGATTTTTATATGAATAAAATCCATTTGAAAATGATCTCAAAGGGAGACCTGGATGTCAAAGATGTAAAGAAATCCCGTGAGGAAAGAGTGAAGGATATATGTGGAGGGTAGACACATTGACTGCACCTTGTTGAAGGGGTTACAGATTCCTTGTGGGTGTAAAATCGGACAGCCAGCACAACCCAGCTGTCTCCTCTCTTGGCTGTATTCGTAAGTCATTGTCCTGCCAAGATAGGGATAAGAGGGAGGATGACTCCCACCGTCCATCCTCCACTGCCTCTTCTAGGAAGCATGGGAGTTCTGGGTAGAGAATTCTGCGTTGCACATGAATCAAGAGTAACCAAAGGCAAGATGGAAACAAATTGTCAAGTTATGTGTCATCCTAATTCTTATCTTAATATCAGCATAAATCAGTAGCAGCTCAGCTCTCATGTACTGTTTTAGAGCATTCTGGGGCCCAATTTGAATTCAAAGAAGTACCTGCTATACAATGAAAGATTCAGTTTAACTGATGTACTTCAGTCAGTTTTTGGTAGATCCTGGAAAGTCTTTGAAATAGCCATAGTTTGGGAAGCTAACTGCATAGGGACCCAAATATGGCTGGAAAATATGTGGCTCCCAACCCAGAGGGACACTAATTCATTTCATAATCTGCTAAGACAGTTGGAATCTGCTGAACCATCCACCAACCACCAATATTCTCCATATCTTCAAGGAAATTGGAAAATGTAAGAAAAATTTGAATGATTAATATAAAAAAATAAGAGAGGGGGGAGCGGAGCAAGATGGCCGAATAGGAACAGCTCCAGTCTCCAACTCCCAGCGCGGGCGACACAGAAGACCGGCGATTTCTGCATTTTCAACTGAGGTAGTGGGTTCATCTCACTGGGGAGTGCCGGACGATCGGTGCTGGTCAGCTGCTGCAGCCCGACCAGCGAGAGCTGAAGCAGGGCGAGGCATTGCCTCACCTGGGAAGTGCAAGGGGGAAGGGAATCCCTTTTCCTAGCCAGGGGAACTGAGACACACAACACCTGGAAAATCGGGTAACTCCCACCCCAATACTGCGCTTTAAGCAAACAGGCACACCAGGAGATCATATCCCACACCTGGCCGGGAGGGTCCCACACCCACGGAGCCTCCCTCATTACTAGCACAGCAGTCTGTGATCTACCGGCAAGGCAGCAGCGAGGCTGGGGGAGGGGCGTCCACCATTGCTGAGGCTTAAGTAGGTAAAGCTGCTGGGAAGCTCGAACTGGGTGGAGCTCACAGCAGCTCAAGGAAACCTGCCTGTCTCTGTAGACTCCACCTCTGGGGACAGGGCAATACAAACCAGCCGAAACCTCTGCAGACGCAAACACTCTGTCTGACAGCTTTGAAGAGAGCAGTGGATCTCCCAACACGGAGGTTGAGATCTGAGAAGGGACAGACTCCCTGCTCAAGTGGGTCCCTGACCCCTGAGTAGCCTAACTGGGAGACATCCCCCACTAGGGGCAGTCTGACACCCCACACCTCACAGGGTGGAGTACACCCCTGAGAGGAAGCTTCCAAAGCAAGAATCAGACAGGTACACTCGCTGTTCAGAATATTCTATCTTCTGCAGCCTCTGCTGCTGATACCCAGGCAAACAGGGTCTGGAGTGGACCTCAAGCAATCTCCAACAGACCTACAGCTGAGGGTCCTGACTGTTAGAAGGAAAACTATCAAACAGGAAGGACACCTACACCAAAACCCCATCAGTACATCACCATCATCAAAGACCAGAGGCAGATAAAACCACAAAGATGGGGAAAAAGCAGGGCAGAAAAGCTGGAAATTCAAAAAATAAGAGCGCATCTCCCCCGGCAAAGGAGCGCAGCTCATCGCCAGCAACGGATCAAAGCTGGACGGAGAATGACTTTGATGAGATGAGAGAAGAAGGCTTCAGTCCATCAAATTTCTCAGAGCTAAAGGAGGAATTACGTACCCAGCGCAAAGAAACTAAAAATCTTGAAAAAAAAGTGGAAGAATTGATGGCTAGAGTAATTAATGCAGAGAAGGTCATAAACGAAATGAGAGAGATGAAAACCATGACACGAGAAATACGTGACAAATGCACAAGCTTCAGTAACCGACTCGATCAACTGGAAGAAAGAGTATCTGCGATTGAGGATCAAATGAATGAAATGAAGCGAGAAGAGAAACCAAAAGAAAAAAGAAGAAAAAGAAATGAACAAAGCCTGCAAGAAGTATGGGATTATGTAAAAAGACCAAATCTACGTCTGATTGGGGTGCCTGAAAGTGAGGGGGAAAATGGAACCAAGTTGGAAAACACTCTTCAGGATATCATCCAGGAGAACTTCCCCAACCTAGTAGGGCAGGCCAACATTCAAATCCAGGAAATACAGAGAACGCCACAAAGATACTCCTCGAGAAGAGCAACTCCAAGACACATAATTGCCAGATTCACCAAAGTTGAAATGAAGGAAAAAATCTTAAGGGCAGCCAGAGAGAAAGGTCGGGTTACCCACAAAGGGAAGCCCATCAGACTAACAGCAGATCTCTCGGCAGAAACTCTCCAAGCCAGAAGAGAGTGGGGGCCAATATTCAACATTCTTAAAGAATTTTAAACCCAGAATTTCATATCCAGCCAAACTAAGTTTCATAAGTGAAGGAGAAATAAAATCCTTTACAGATAAGCAAATGCTTAGAGATTTTGTCACCACTAGGCCTGCCTTACAAGAGACCCTGAAGGAAGCACTAAACATGGAAAGGAACAACCGGTACCAGCCATTGCAAAAACATGCCAAAATGTAAAGACCATCGAGGCTAGGAAGAAACTGCATCAACTAACGAGCAAAATAACCAGTTAATATCATAATGGCAGGATCAAGTTCACACATAACAATCTTAACCTTAAATGTAAATGGACTAAATGCTCCAATTAAGAGACACAGACTGGCAAACTGGATAGAGTCAAGACCCATCAGTCTGCTGTATTCAGGAGACCCATCTCACACGCAGAGACATACATAGGCTCAAAATAAAGGGATGGAGGAAGATTTACCAAGCAAATGGAGAAAAAAAAAAGCGGGGGTTGCAATACTAGTCTCTGATAAAACAGACTTTAAACCATCAAAGATCAAAAGAGACAAAGAAGGCCATTACATAATGGTAAAGGGATCAATTCAACAGGAAGAGCTAACTATCCTAAATATATATGCACCCAATACAGGAGCACCCAGATTCATAAAGCAAGTCCTTAGAGACTTACAAAGAGACTTAGACTCCCATACAATAATAATGGGAGACTTCAACACTCCACTGTCAACATTAGACAGATCAACGAGACAGAAAGTTAACAAGGATATCCAGGAATTGAACTCATCTCTGCAGCAAGCAGACCTAATAGACATCTATAGAACTCTCCACCCCAAATCAACAGAATATACATTCTTCTCAGCACCACATCGTACTTACTCCAAAATCGACCACGTAATTGGAAGTAAAGCACTCCTCAGCAAATGTACAAGAACAGAAATTATAACAAACTGTCTTCAGACCACAGTGCAATCAAACTAGAACTCAGGACTAAGAAACTCAATTAAAACCGCTCAACTACATGGAAACTGAACAACCTGCTCCTGAATGACTACTGGGTACATAATGAAATGAAGGCAGAAATAAAGATGTTCTTTGAAACCAATGAGAACAAAGATACAACATACCAGAATCTCTGGGACACATTTAAAGCAGTGTGTAGAGGGAAATTTATAGCACTAAATGCCCACAAGAGAAAGCAGGAAAGATCTAAAATTGACACTCTAACATCGCAATTAAAAGAACTAGAGAAGCAAGAGCAAACACATTCGAAAGCTAGCAGAAGGCAAGAAATAACTAAGATCGGGGCAGAACTGAAGGAGATAGAGATACAAAACACCCTTCAAAAAAATCAATGAATCCAGGAGTTGGTTTTTTGAAAAGATCAACAAAATTGACAGACCACTAGCAAGACTAATAAAGAAGAAAAGAGAGAAGAATCAAATCGACGCAATTAAAAATGATAAAGGGGATATCACCACCAACCCCACAGAAATACAAAGTACCATCAGAGAATACTATAAACACCTCTATGCAAATAAACTGGAAAATCTAGAAGAAATGGATAATTTCCTGGACACTTACACTCTTCCAAGACTAAACCAGTAAGAAGTTGAATCCCTGAAGAGACCAATAGCAGGCTCTGAAATTGAGGCAATAATTAATAGCCTACCAACCAAAAAAAGTCCAGGACCAGATGGATTCACAGCTGAATTCTACCAGAGGTATAAGGAGGAGTTGGTACCATTCCTTCTGAAACTATTCCAATCAATAGAAAAAGAGGGAATCCTCCCTAACTCATTTTATGAGGCCAACATCATCCTGATACCAAAGCCTGGCAGACACACAACAAAAAAAGAGAATTTTAGACCAATATCCCTGATGAACATCGATGCAAAAATCCTCAATAAAATACTGGCAAACCGGATTCAGCAACACATCAAAAAGCTTATCCACCATGATCAAGTGGGCTTCATCCCTGGGATGCAAGGCTGGTTCAACATTCGCAAATCAATAAACATAATCCAGCATATAAACAGAACCAAAGACAAGAACCACATGATTATCTCAATAGATGCAGAAAAGGCTTTTGACAAAATTCAACAGCCCTTCATGCTAAAAACGCTCAATAAATTCGGTATTGATGGAACGTACCTCAAAATAATAAGAGCTATTTATGACAAACCCACAGCCAATATCATACTGAATGGGCAAAAACTGGAAAAATTCCCTTTGAAAACTGGCACAAGACAGGGATGCCCTCTCTCACCACTCCTATTCAACATAGTGTTGGAAGTTCTGGCTAGGGCAATTAGGCAAGAGAAAGAAATCAAGGGTATTCAGTTAGGAAAAGAAGAAGTCAAATTGTCCCTGTTTGCAGATGACATGATTGTATATTTAGAAAACCCCATTGTCTCAGCCCAAAATCTCCTTAAGCTGATAAGCAACTTCAGCAAAGTCTCAGGATACAAAATTAATGTGCAAAAATCACAAGCATTCTTATACACCAGTAACAGACAAACAGAGAGCCAAATCATGAATGAACTTCCATTCACAATTGCTTCAAAGAGAATAAAATACCTAGGAATCCAACTTACAAGGGATGTAAAGGACCTCTTCAAGGAGAACTACAAACCACTGCTCAGTGAAATAAAAGAGGACACAAACAAATGGAAGAACATACCATGCTCATGGATAGGAAGAATAAATATCGTGAAAATGGCCATACTGCCCAAGGTAATTTATAGGTTCAATGCCATCCCCATCAAGCTACCAATGAGTTTCTTCACAGAATTGGAAAAAAACTGCTTTAAAGTTCATATGGAACCAAAAAAGAGCCCGCATCTCCAAGACAATCCTAAGTCAAAAGGACAAAGCTGGAGGCATCACGCTACCTGACTTCAAACTATACTACAAGGCTACAGTAACCAAAACAGCATGGTACTGGTACCAAAACAGAGATATAGACCAATGGAACAGAACAGAGTCCTCAGAAATAATACCACACATCTACAGCCATCTGATCTTTGACAAACCTGAGAGAAACAAGAAATGGGGAAAGGATTCCCTATTTAATAAATGGTGCTGGGAAAATTGGCTAGCCATAAGTAGAAAGCTGAAACTGGATCCTTTCCTTACTCCTTATACGAAAATTAATTCAAGATGGATTAGAGACTTAAATGTTAGACCTAATACCATAAAAATCCTAGAGGAAAACCTAGGTAGTACCATTCAGGACATAGGCATGGGCAAAGACTTCATGTCTAAAACACCAAAAGCAACGGCAGCAAAAGCCAAAATTGACAAATGGGATCTCATTAAACTAAAGAGCTTCTGCACAGCAAAAGAAACTACCATCAGAGTGAACAGGTAACCTACAGAATGGGAGAAAATTTTTGCAATCTACTCATCTGACAAAGGGCTAATATCCAGAACCTACAAAGAACTCAAACAAATTTACAAGAAAAAAACAACCCCATCAAAAAGTGGGCAAAGGATATGAACAGACATTTCTCAAAAGAAGACATTCATACAGCTAACAGACACATGAAAAAATGCTCATCATCACTGGCCATCAGAGAAATGCAAATCAAAACCACAATGAGATACCATCTCACACCAGTTAGAAGGGCAATCATTAAAAAGTCAGGAAACAACAGGTGCTGGAGAGGATGTGGAGAAATAGGAACACTTTTACACTGTTGGTGGGATTGTAAACTAGTTCAACCATTATGGAAAACAGTATGGCGATTCCTCAAGGATCTATAACTAGATGTACCATATAACCCAGCCATCCCATTACTGGGTATATACCCAAAGGATTATAAATCATGCTGCTACAAAGACACATGCACACGTATGTTTATTGCAGCACTATTCACAATAGCAAAGACTTGGAATCAACCCAAATGTCCATCAGTGACAGATTGGATTAAGAAAATGTGGCACATATACACCATGGAATACTATGCAGCCATCAAAAAGGATGAGTTTGTGTCCTTTGTAGGAACATGGATGCAGCTGGAAACCATCATTCTTAGCAAACTATCACAAGAACAGAAAACCAAACACCGCATGTTCTCACTCATAGGTGGGAACTGAACAATGAGATCACTTGGACTCGGGAAGGGGAACATCACACACCGGGGCCTATCATGGGGAGGGGGAGGGGGGAGGGATTGCATTGGGAGTTATACCTGATGTAAATGACGAGTTGATGGGTGCAGCACACCAACATGGCACAAGTATACATATGTAACAAACCTGCACGTTATGCACATGTACCCTAGAACTTAAAGTATAATAATAATAAATAAATTAAAAAAAAAAAAGAGGGACAAAATCTGAAAGACAGTTTCTACCATTGTAGTCTGGCATCTTCTTTTCATTGGTGTAAAACAGATACCAACAGCAGAGAAGAAAGCTACCAGCCAGTGGCACATTCCCCTTGGAAAGAACCTTTTTTTTTTCTTTCTTTTTCTTTTTTTTTTCAGGTGGTTTCTCTGGTTCTTATGAATTTAAGAACTCTAGCTAAACAGAAGGTCTGAGAGACAGGAAAACACCTATTTTCAAAGCTGCAAGAGCTGGATTATCACTTTCTAACATTTTTGCAATCACAAAATTATCTTTTAAAGAAGTTTACTAACTTTCATGGGATGATCACAGATTAGCTGCAAGCAATTACTCATGAAAGGGCTTTTAAACAAACCATAGATTACCAATAAATTGGCTGAAATGACTTCATACTAAATGTAAAACAGATTACCTTTCTATCTATAATTCAGTGTTCAAAAGAAAATATTAGCAAGTTATTCATAATATGTAATTCATTTTTATGTGAGCATCAGTAATTCTGGCCTACTGGTGGTCCAGATAAACCCACATTTATGATGCTGTAACTTCAAGTGTCTTTTCATGGTGTTCTTTTTACAAAAAAAAAAAAATTAGAAGTAGGGAAGGTCATAGCTTCTCATTTTAAATGTGCTCATTCCTGGGGCTAAGCATATGAGAATTATAATCCAACAAACATCTGTTTCTAAACTACTGATGCTTTAGCATGAACCAGAAATATAAATTTTAATCTGATGACTGAAAGCATCCCTTTAACTGTTTTTTGTTTTTTTTTTTTTTTTTTTTTTTTTTTTTGAGTAGTCCAGTGGCATGACATCTGGAGGAGCTATGCTTTAGATTATTTATAGATGTGGACAGTAAGAGCCACATTTATGTTGTCAGTGCTGTTTGCCCTCCTTTAATTTCTCAAATGACCTAATTATATGTGTTCTCAATATGTCTTGGGAGGAAAATAATTGCTGATACTCTCAAAGGCAAAATGCTGAATACGTTTCTGTGCTTCTCACATTCCATGGCCTGACTGTGGGCATCATTAAAGTTACACTTTACCACTCTTCTGGAACGTGGCATTGAACATGTCCTAATGTCTCACAGTGAGAAGTGAAACACTTCCTCTTAAAAAGAAAAATATCTGATGTTTTACAGGATGCCTGACACTAATGCTTACTATTCTGCTATCTCTGATGTCTTCACTTATGGATATATTCATTAACAAGTACTTATTAACTATTTAACATTTCTTCTACTGAGTGTTATTAATTACAGATGCTGTATTAGTTTCCTAAGTCTGCTGTAACAAATTACCACGAACTTGGTGACTTAAAACAACAGAAATTTATTCTCTCACGGTTCTGGAGACCAGAAGTTCAAAATACAGCTGGGACCAAAGGCATCTCTAGGGAAGGATACAGTCCTTGCTGCTTCCAGGGTTCTGGTGAGTGTCCTGGCATTCCTGGCTGGTGACCACATCACTCCAGTCTCTGTGATCACATCGCTGCAGCCTCCTCTTCTGTGTGTGTCTCTTTTGTGAGTGTCTCATAAGGACACTTGTTATTGGATTTAGGTCCTACTCTGATAATCCAAGATGATGTCCCCTTTTCAAGATCCTTAAGTTAATAATATCTGCAAAGACCCTTTATCCAAATAAGGTCACAGTGACAGATTTGGGAGATTAAGATGTGGACAGATCTTTTTTGGAGTCACCATGCAACCCACTGCAGATGGCAAATTTAAACTGGCCATGGTTGGTAGCCTCTAGGCAGATTTTTGATTTTTAAAATCTGCTATTTAAAGATAAGTTACACAGTTGTTTTCCTTTTTTCTAAAATACCTCAAATAAACACTGTACCTTTTTGGATGTAACCTCTTGCATCAGTGAGGTCCATGGTTAAATGTGTTCATTCACTCTAATACAGTGGATTTTATTGCTGGTAAATCTAGTGGTGAAAACATGGATTTAATGTTGGTGTTTGCATGCCACTAAAAGAACAGAAGAGCCTCCAAATCTCTCTTCTCCCCTCTTCTGACAAGACTCTCCAGGTTCTTATGGGTGACCCATGGTCCATGGTAGTGAAAGACAGTGAAAAGAAAGATCTCAGAAGTATGAATTCATTTACTATATCCTCAAGTATCAATTGAGCCTCTACTTTGTGTCCTGCAATATTCTAGACATTGGAAAGAGAGACAGCTGACTTCCTAGGGGATGACCTATGTCGATACATAGGGCCCCGTGCTTGGAAGGTCCCCACCCTTGGTTTAATGCTCTGTTGTTATCTTAATAGTTTTTAACAGGGCCCCTGCATTTTCATTTCGCACTGGGCCCCATGGATTATGTAGCACATCTTGAAAAGAACAGTGGACAATATAGGAAAGCTTCCAGCTCTCAAGGGCTTGTCAGGGTATCTGATGGTAGACAGCCAGCACCAGTGCCCCAGGCATAAATATGTGATGCTGAGCCCTTTGGGGTCAAATCTAAGGTAAGACAGTAAATAACGTAGTATCACATTTGGATATATTGTAATGGTACCATGGACTGACTCACAGTTTCTGATTTTGTCTTCTATCAAAGCTTTCTACTTATTATTAATATCAAGCTTCATTTCTAAATTTCAGAGCAGCATCTCCCAAGATACAATCAGAATTGTCGAACTTTTTTAAAAATTTTTTTAAGAAAAGCTTTCAGGGTTAATGACCATCATAAACCCTCTCTCGAATATAGACATTAGTTTCAGCATTTGGGAGGGGGAAAGGACCTTGGAATCATTGCCAATAAGAGCAATGTTTTGATAACAAAATGTTTCAAATTATATCTTGGACATCTCAGAGAAGATAAGTTGTGTAATACTGATGTTCATTTGTACCTCCTTCTAAAGAAGTGTTGTCTCAATATTTTCATCATAGTGGCATGCCGGACTATATGAATGAGATTTGGCTCCTTAAGTCTTCAAGGCTTCCAAGCAATCTATTTTTAACATAGAACAAGCATATAAATATATATGTTTTTAATCCATATTACTCCTGAAAGGAATAAACTCAGAACTGAAGTTGTTGGTGGAAGTTTAATGCAGTTCAACTAAGGATTTGTATCCAAAAGAAGTTGTTGCTTGTACTTCCATTGCTGCATTAGTCACACTAGATATATAGTCACTTTTAACAGCATTGTGCCATTACCAGTGACTTTAATTATTGTTTGGTAATCTTATCTACTTACACCGATATTAATTAAATCCATCTGGTGGGGGGAATGGGGGTCATCTCAACATACGTTGATTGAAAACTGCAAACCGTAATCTTTATAGTGGCTAATTTTCTCAGACCCTTCATTCCTGAGGACAGAAGGAGTTGATCACACCATTAATTCTAAAAATTGATTCTAAAATAGGAACTTGTTTTCTCTGCCTGTTTTAGTGCCTCCTGTTGGAATCAGCTCACTAACCAGTAGAAACAAACTGTTTATCCTTCCATGATGTTGTAACTGCCTGGGCTTTCTAATGCGTCTTCAGATTTCAGTTTGTACTCAGAACAAGTGAGAAAAGTTTTACAGAAACTCCACGAAACAAAGCAGACAGGCTCTCCTGAAGCCAGGGATTTATGCTAAAGGCAGGCATCACACATTGAATCAAGTATGCCATTACCCTCACTCCCATGAACCTGTCTTTCAGCACAATCCATGACAGCAAGAAGACAAAGGCTTTGTTACAACAGAACAGAGCGGAGACATCAGTGGCCGTCAGCTTCTTTAAAGCCAGTAAATAAAGGTAATTAGTCAAAGTCCATAGAATAGAAAAGGGAGCAGTTCTTTTAAGAAAGAGCTTCAACGTCAGACCATCTTCACCAAAAATCCGACTGCATTCCCTAGGAAAGAAAACAGAAATTAATATCCAGGTACTGATGGTGACACCTCTTGTCTTATCTGACTCATCGCAGCCATTTTCAGGGAAGAGCACAAACACTCAATACCCATCCTTCATCTGTGAAGTACACCAAACCCAGTTCTGAAATCTGCAGGCTTCAGGGACTGTATGAGGTTCCTTGGAAAACAGCCCACATGTGCCCAAGCACAGAGCTAGGCCCTCTTCTCCGAGATATTCTCTGGAGGTGGCCTGAAAAAGCCATTCTGTCGTTTTTGAGCATTCTCAGAAGAGCCTGGAGAAATACAGAAATGGATAGTTGCTGAAATCACTAGCTACCAGAAGAGGGAGAAGATTCTTTCCCAGTGGGCAAACGAGAGAGGGTCAAGGCCGCTACTGCTCTGTGAACAGGCTACAGACAACTCCTAGAACCTGGAGGGAAAGGGACTGTCATACGTCTGTGCAGCACACATGTCTTTGGATTTTATTTCTAAGACACTATGCCTCTTTCTAATATATCTGCCCAATTGACTAATTTTTTTCTTGCTAGCATTTTTAAGGCAGAAAAATGAAGAAAGGCTCTGTGATAACTCCCACATGATAAAAACTAAATAGAAAACTCAGGTTGTACTTAGATACAAACATTTGGCCCTTTTGTGGAGAAATTGTCTGAATTCAGTGTCAGAAAATGGTCACTTCAATTGTTAAATCTTCTATTTGATTTTCAATTAAGTTGGCTACATTTAGCCCCAGGGACCATTTTTTTCCTTTAAGTCCTAGGCCTAAACATGATTTTTTTTTTTTTTTTCCCTAGGTCTGGCTCTGTTACCCAGGCTGGAATGCAGTGGCATGATCTTGGTTCACTGCAACCTCCGCCTCCCAGACTCAAGCCATCCTCACACCTCCGCCTCCTGAGTAGCTGGGACTACAGGCACGCACCACCATGCCAGGCTAGTTTTTGAAAATTTTTTGTAGAGACAGGACTTCACGCTGTTGCCCAGGCTGGTCTCAAACCCGTAAGCTCAGGTGATCTGCTTGCCTCGGCCTCCCAAAGTGCCGGGATTACAGTCAAAAGCCACCGCACCTGGCTCTGAGGGGCCATTTTAATAAAAATGTTCAAGCTAGTCATACAAACAGGTAGTAATGGAAGTGACACAATGACTGCGCCTATATGACGATGGACTGAAAACAGACTTACTACTGGGAGAATTTTACTTAATTTTTTTCCACTCAATTGTTCACGAACATTCAAGCATTTATGGGGCAACTGTCAGGCATTGTATTTTCATGAGTAGTGTAAGTAATCTTGTTCAAAGCAACACATTATTAATATATGCATATGTTTATAATGAAATCTACTTACAGGACTCTAGTACTGGTACTAGTTTCTTTTCCAGTTTTAAGTGAAATTAGTGTGCCTCAAAGTATTGCAAATCAAAGTAAATTCTAGCCAATGTTTGCTTCACATGAACGTTCACATGAATGATGTAATCCCAAAAAAGGACCATGTAGAGAGGAGGAGTGATAAAGAATTTAGGCACAGGGAGTACAGCCTTAAAGATTAAGTTTCAGAGTAAATGTGACTTTCAACTGGATGAGAATGTTGGGAGTTGCAGGTCAGCAGTTGCAGGAAGGTTAAAGACATGTGTTGCACACACAGAAACTTGTATTGAAATTTGTTTACAAAAAAGGAAGAATTTTTGTAAAATGAAAGTAAGATTTCCCAAAGACAAATTTTAACTTTAAAAAGACAGAACTTCAAAGAAATTAAATAGCCTAAAGCCTTCTGTAAACAGAAATTACACACGCTCACATACACACGAAAGTGAACAGTGTCTCTGGAGCCCCACAGCCAATGGGATAGTCTGAATTAGCACCATACATAGAACCAGAGGAAGTTTTCATAGAGCATCCTGGGCACAAAGTTCATATTCTATACTTATAAGGTGATCTGCTCCATGAGGAAGCTGCCGTGTAGAGCTGGAGTTGAGAGTCGTGGGTTTATCCTACCATTTAGAACCACTGACTGACTTTTAAAATATGAACACATTTATTGAGAACCACCACAACAAAACCCATTCCTGATTAAAGGATTTCTTTTTCTTATCACTGGCTCTAGCCAGCGATTGTTCTTCAACCAAGAGCCCACCATCATGCTGGGAGGAGTGCTCCTAAGCAAAGATTTTGGACACAGGGAAGACCAACAGATGTGTACTCCAGACAGGCAGAGCCTGACCAGCAAAAAAGCTGGGAAGATGCTGCTGCCAGGCGGAGACTGCTCTCACCTGGTTCATCTTGTCTCCCAGGTGTTCGTTTCCTCGTTGTTCCCCTTTCCTTCCCCTTCTCTCATTGCCAACCTTCTCCCCTTTGTCACTGTTGTTGGAGACATTAAAAACGCTCTCCATCCAAATGCCAGGTCACTTGTGTAAAATCTCATACTATTTAAGCATTAAACTCTAAGAAACATGAAAACTAAAAAAAAATACGGATTTTTATGGAGAAGCAAATAAACAGTGGGTTTCTCTTTGGGATGATGAGATCAGACTTTCTGGGCAAGTGGCATTGACAGGTGGTATAGCTTGAAATGAAGCATAGAAGTTAGAGGACACTAATAATTTAGTTATGCTTATTATTAAAACAGCAGCCACTAGTTATGGAACCCTTTCTATATGTTAAATTGCATCTTAAGCACATTTTATAGGTGCCTGACATAGGCAAATATCTTTGCTCTAGTTTAATGCTTTCTAAAGAATTTTTTCCCTAAGAAAACATCCTTGTTAATAATATGCTATACAATTTTTTCTTCCTAAATTTCAAATTCACCTGAGGCAACTGAATTCTTCTCTAGTATATAAATGATTATCAAAAACTACTTCTAAATAGTCCTCACCATCTAGATTTGATACTTTATTGAAAATTATTTTGATGTTACTGACAAGAAAAAAAAAACTGGAAATGCTTTCATACCATTCTAGAGAAAATAGTCAGAGGTTCTGCTGTTATGGGACAAATCCTATTTCCAGTCTTATACACTAACTGTTTTCCCCTTGTTCAGTCATGAGAGCTTCGGGAATGACTTCTTGGCAGATGGTATTAATGAGTCTACAGGGAAAAAAAGATCAAGGATCTAAGAATTGTCTGACAATTTTACCTCTCATATGGAGGAGGCCACTGGAGAATATTCCCTTCAAAGATAGTGTTTTCTGCTTGACAATAAAAGCCCGTTGATTCTATTTCAGAAATGGTCAACTTCACTCTACATGCACTATAGGTAGAGTGCTAAATCAGATTTTACTAAGTTCAGAGTTAGTCTGACATGAGAGATGTGAAAAAGATAGTTCATTCCCAAACAACATTTCTGCTAGCAGCAGTCTCTTGTTTTAAATCAGTTATCTTAAATCAAACTGACTTAGCTTGCTTTGAGGTATTCTTGAGGTACTTCTTTTTATACAAAACTTTTGTTGTTTTAAATCAATGTGTTTTTCTAAACCATGGAAGCATTCAAGTAGAACGCACATACTGTATAGGTGCACATAGGTATCTTCAAACAGGGACAATTGTAGTCTGATAATCACATTCCCCCATAATCAAATATTGTTAAAAAAATTTTACAATGCAAGATCATGTCTACTTTGATGAGAATCAAATACAAAATATCTTTAGTAATCTCAAAGAGTTATAGGGCTCTCCCAAGCCAGTAAGCATTTATTCTTTTTGAATTGTTTTTTACTTCTTTCACTGTAGCTGAGTTTTCATGGACACATATAGAAAATCAACTCATGGTGAGAATTAATATTCCCAAGCACTTGCAAAGTGGTGATAGGAAATGGAAGTTGAGGCAAGACACATTGGCTTATGCCTGTAATCCCAGCACTTTGGAAGACCAAAAACCACATGATTATCTCAATAGAGGCAGAAAAGGCCTTTGACAAAATTCAACAGCCCTTCATGCTAAAAGCTCTCAATAAACTAGGTATCAGTGGAACATACCTCAAAATAATAAGACCTGTTTATGACAAACCCACAGCTAATATCATACTGGGCAAAAGCTAGAAGCATTCCCTTTGAAAAAAAACAAAACCGGTGCAAGACAAGGATGCCCTCTCTCACCACTCCTATTCAACAAAGCATTTGGAAGTTCTGGCCAGGGGATCAGGCAAGAGAGAAAAATAAAGGGTAACCAAATAGGAAAAGAGGAAGTCAAATTGTCTCTGTTTGCAGATGACATGATTTTGTATATTTAGAAAACCTTATCGTTTCAGCCCAAAATCTCCTTAAGCTGATAAGCAACTTCAGCAAAGTCTCAGGATACAAAATCAATGTGCAAATATCAGAAGCATTCCTATACACCAGTAATAGACAGCCAGATCATGAGTGAACTCCTATTCACGATTGTTCACAGAGAATAAAATACCTAAGAATCCAGCTTACAAGGGATGTGAAGGACCTCTTCAAGGAGAACTACAAACCCTTGCTCAAGGAAATAAGAGAACACAAACTGATGGGAAAACATTCCATACTCATTGATAGGAAGAATAATTCAATGCTCTTCCCATCAAGCTACCATTGACTTTCTTCACAGAATTGGGAAAAAAACTACTTTAAATTTCATATAGAACCAAAAAAGAGCCCACATAGCCAAGACAATCCTAAGCAAAAAGAACAAAGCTGGAGACATCATGCCACCTGACTTCAAACTAAACTATCCTACAAGGCTACAGTAACCAAAACAGCATGGTACTGATACCAAAACAGAGATATAGACCAATGGAACAGAACAGAGGCCTCAGAAATACCACCACACATCTGATCTTTGACAAGCCTGACAAAAACGAGCAATGGGGAAAGGATTCCCTATTTAATAAATGGTGCTGGGAAAACTGGCTAGCCATATGCAGAAAACTGAAACTGGACCCCTTCCTTATACTTTATATAAAAATTAACTCAAGGTGGATTAAAGACCTAAACATAAGACTTAAAACCATAAAAAACCTGAGAACAAAACCTGGGCAATACCATTCAGGACATAGGCATGGGTAAAGACTTCATGACTAGACCAGGCAGTGGCTCACGCCTGTAATCCCAGCACTTTTGGAGGCCAAGGCAGGTGGATCACGAGGTCAAGAGATCGGGCCCATCCTGGCTAACATGGTGAAACCACGTCTCTGCTAAAAATACAAAAAATTAGCTGGGCGTGGTGGTGGGTGCCGGTAGTCCCAGCTACTCGGGAGGATGGGCAGGAGAATGGTGTGAACCTGGGAGGTGGAGCTGTCAGTGAGCTGAGATCGCGCCACTACACTCCAGCCTGGGTGACAGAGTGAGGCTCCATCTCAGAAAAAGGAAAAAAAAAAAGACTTCATGACTAAAACACCAAAAGCAATGGCAACAAAAGCCAAAATTGACAAATGGGATCTAATTAAACTAAGGAGCTTCTGCACAGCAAAAGAAACTACCATCAGAGTGAACAGGCAACCTACAGAATGGGAAAAAGCTTTTGCAATCTATCCTTTTGACAAAGGGCTAATATCCAGAATCTACAAAGAACTTAAACATCAAAAAGTGGGCAAAGGAGGTGAACAGGTACTTCTCAAAAGACATTTATGCAGCCAACAAGCTATGAAAAAAAGCTTATCTTCACTGGTCATTAGAGAAATACAGATCAAAACCACAGTGAGATCCCATCTCAGGCCAGTGAGAATGGTGATCATAAGTCAGGAAACAACAGATGCTGGGGAGGATGTGGAGAAATAGGAACACTTTTATACTGTTGGTGAGAGTGTAAATTAGTTCAACCATTGTGGAAGACAGTGTGACGATTCCTCAAGGATCTAGAACTAGAAATACCATTTGACCCAGCCATCCCATTACTGGGTATATACCCAAAGGATTATAAATCATTCTAAAAACACACATGCACACATGTTTATTGCGGCACTGTTCATAATAGCAAAGACTTGGAACCAACCCAAATGCCCATCAATGATAGACTGGATAAAGAAAATGTGGCACATATACACCATGGAATACTATGCAGCCATAAAAAGGGATGAGTTCATGTCCTTTGCAGGGCCATGGATGAAGCTGGAAACCGTTCTCAGCAAACTAACACAAGAACAGAAAACCAAACACTGCATGTTCTCACTCATTAGTGGGAGTTGAACAATGAGAACACATGGACACAGGGAGGGGAACATCCCACACTGGGGCCTGTTGGTGGAGGTGGGGGACTAGGGGAGGGATAGCACTGGGAGAAATACCTAACATAGATGATGGGTGCAGCAAACCACCATGCTACGTGTATACCTATGTAACAAAACTGTACGTTCTGCACATATATCCCAGAACTTAAAGTATAATAAAAACAGAAAAATCTGCCAAGTCACTGTAAAAGGTGATCACAAATTAAACACTCTTCAAGGCCAAATGAATAAAGAATAATTAGTACATGCACGTTCAAAAGAAAGAAAATGGTAGTTGAGGCCAGGCATGGTGACTCACGCCTGTAGTCCCAGCTCTTTGGGAGGCCAAGGTGGTCCGATCACTTGAGACCAGGAGTTCCACAGCAGTCTGGCCAACATGGTGAAACCCACCTCTACTGAAAATACAAAAAAATTAGCTGGGCATGGTGGCACGCGCTTGTAACCCAAGCTACTCAAGAGGCTGAGGCAAGGGGCAAAGGTTATAGTGAACTGAGATCGCGCCACTGCACTCCAGCCTGGGTGACAGAGCAAGACTCTGTCTCAAAAACACAGAAAATAGAATTTGAAGATAGACCCTTCCAAGTTAAGTTTATAAGAAGAGTCTTATAATGTACCAACTGTAATAATTTCTTTTCATTTGGTATAGGGGTAAGAAAGATTTTGGCCCCTGGAAGACAAATTTATTCTGCTAAGGAATAAGTCCATGTGGAGGACTCTTCTTCCGTCTGCCGTCTACTGATGTCCCTATTTTTTTTTTTTTCCTGGGTGATTAGAGCAATTTTCCTGGAAGTCACTTCTCAGCATCAGGCTTTTCCCACTTCATGGAGCTGTCCACTAAGCAAAGGTACTTGGACCCAAATGCTGCTTTTGCCTCCCTTGAGTGCCATGCAGCGCTGGGTAACATCAGCCCTGTCAGCTTCCTGAGCTATCCAAGAGGGGGTTACAGAAGCCAGGTTTAGTACAGAACAACCACTGGAACCATAAGACTTTAAGCCCAACCACCACTGTTCATGGTTAGCAAGGAAACAGACAAAGCCCCCATGTGCATCTAGCCAGCAAAGAGTGGCATCTTTTCAAGTTTCTTAGTCCCAAACTCCCCATTGCATGAAATCAGGCTGTGTCATCTGCTAGGCATCTCAGTGTCAGGAATATTGAGCAAACGTTTGTGTAACAATTAATCTTATTAATACCATTTATTTTTTCTGAGCTTGATGCACTAGGATGTTCTTATAAAACACGACTTTCAGAAATAGATCTAGATTTAAATCTTGGTT